AGGTTTGTCGTCCCGCCGGGCCGAGCTGTGCCCCGGCCCGTATCCTGTGGGGCCGGGGCGTTGTCACCTCCTGTCACCCATGCTGCCCCACCGAGGCGTGGGGACGGGGGGAACGGCCTGTCGCTTTGAGTGTGCGCCCTGGGGCGAAATCCTGGGCTCTTCGGTAGAAACAGGACTCTTTTTGTGGTGGTTGTTGCTGTTCGTCAGAACCGTGACTTTACCTGATGAGCAAAGGACTTCTAAGAGCCATTCAATGAGTATCTTTCTTCCTCCGTCCCTCGTTCTGCTCTGTGGTAGTCGTGTTTGGTAATAAGCCGTCAGCCTTGGACGGGTAGGTGAGGATAGGTAGGTCAGCTTTCGGATAGACATGTGTGGCGCTCACTCCTCAGGCACCTGTTTTCTTTCTGCACCTTATCTCAGCTTGCCTGTTGTGGAAGACTTGAAAATTCATTGCAAATTGCAGGCTAAAATGAGAGCTTGTGACACGCCTTCTGAAAAGAATTATGACTGTTAAGTAGTAACACGCTCTAAAACTGTCTGGCAGTAGTAGCGACTGTGAGACAGCTTGATTTGTCAAGCTTGAATCCTGACATCTCATCCACCTGTTAACTGTGGGCTGAGGTGAGCAGCCTGATGCTTTTGTCTGAAATGTCGTTGTTTCTGTAGCTACAAAATGTTTATTGCTAAATGTGTTCCTTTAAGACACATTTGGGGGGGGGGGTTTTTTTTGATGTGCGAATCGAGAGCAGAGAGGCAGGGGGAGCACGGGTGAGGTAGGGCAGCCCCCCCCCTGGGGATCATCAGTTGGGAATGATGGGTGTCAAGCGTTGCTGTTACTGCAGTTGGTGGGCTAGGAAAGTTACTGAAGCCACCTTTGCGAATGAAGGTGGTTGTTCATAGCGTTGGATGCTTAGTAGAGCCGAAATTGGCCAAGAAATTCCCTGACACGTTACCGTGTTGTCAGTGGTTGCGTTCTATGATTGCCTATAATTTTGTACTTAGAAATTTATAATGGTTATAATTGGTATATTTTAATTTTGACTGCTTTAAGTCAAAATACTTAGTTAATGAGGGGTAAGTGTTTCTGCTTTACTTGTTAATATTCCAGAACAAGGTAGCATGTTTTTCTGATCTCGTTTTGGAGATGGTCTGCCAGAAAGCATTGGCATGAATAAAATCTTGGAGATGAGTGAGAATCATTAGCGTGAACATTAGACAGGTGGTAATCATCCTGATACCGAAGATTTCCTCCTTAGTAACTGATAGGCTGCAGTTAGAGTCTTACCAGAGTATATTCCAGTATGTTTCTTCAAATACTGGTGTTGCAAGGGCAGCTTTAATGACACCAAATTTAGGACAGTCCTGGTCTTAATTCTGGAGATCCTGTGTGACAGCAGTAAGATTGCTATTCGGGGGGATTTTCAGGAGCAAATACTGCTAGGTTAACCTGTGACATGTCCCCAATAAGCTTGTTCACTCTTAGGAGCAGTTGTGTATTTTTTTTGTTAACTTTTTAAAAAACGTGTTATTTTTCTGTGTGTATTTGAAGGGTGCAAACAGCTATGGACAACTTGGTCTTGGTCATAAAGAGGATGCGCTGGTACCTCAGTCACTGCAAGATGTTTCCTGCAAATGTCAAGACATTAAAAGCATTACTGGAGGAGGGGGACATTCTGCAGTTATCACTGGTAAAAACATTGCACTTGCAAGGCGTGTGTGACTTCTAAACGCCTTTCTTTTTCCTGTTTCCCTGTTGGTTTGGTGCTGCCACCAATCTGTGGCTTCTGGGGACATACAATTCTTAGGTGGAAAAGAGGTTCCTCCCAGGTTAATTAACTCAATATTTTGGGGAAATTCCTGTTTGGCTTATCGTGTGTGGTTACTTTATGGCTATGTGAGGACTATTTCTTAACCTGTCTCGTGTAACAGGTTTTCATAGAAAGCAACCAGTTTTTCTGTATTGAGGGTGGAGAGGTGGGAGGGAGAAGTCAAGTGGGAGGTTATTCAGTCTTGCGAAGTTTTAAGGTAAGGAGCAGAAGATAGCATCTGGTCTTTGAAAGGTTCTGCTGTATGCTATAGCTAATTATGAGAAAGGAGGGATGCAGACATGTGAAAGTGATAAAAAAGGTCATCATGCATCTTGGGGAGAGGTGCCTGACTTACTGTATGGGTTGTCTCTCTTGTCAAGCCATAACTGCACTTGTTCAGAGGTGTTTCTGATGCATCAGAATTAACTGTTTCTCTTTTTGCTTGATTGCAGTGCCTAAAATGACACATAATCACTGTCCTTGTTTGTCACAGGATCTCATGGGTGTATGCCTATCTTTCTAGTCTGTGAAGTGGAACATGAATTTTTTTGTTTTATTTTATTTTTTTTTTCTTCCAGGTGCAGGAGAACTCTTTGTGTGTGGCCATAACAAAGATGGGCAGTTGGGATTGAATCACACGGAGGATGTACTGTGTTTTACTTTGTGTACTGCTCTGTCTGGCTTTTGTGTAAAACAAGTTGCCTGTGGCTGGGATTTTACAATCATATTAGTAGGTAAATCTGTCTCTGTAAAAGCTGAAGAAATATCTTGATGTAGAGAATGTGCTGAAAGTTCCACATTGCTATTGCTTGTGTGATGCACGGACACTCACAGGTTTTAAGCTACTTGCCTTGCAAACTAAATTGCTCCATGTTCCTTGTATCCCAGTGAACTTCAGGCTGTTACTGAATGTGTCGTGTAAGACCAGAAGCCTGTGGCCTTAGGGGCTTTGGAAGGGGACGTGTTAGGTTCTTTTTTTTTGAGCTACTCGTCTGTGGTATTCTGCTTGTTAGAATGTTTCACTGCTTTACTTTTTCTCACAGATTTGCTGATTGGGTTCTAACTCTTAATTTTTCAGGATCTGGCCTAGTTCTGTCCTGTGGGTCTAACTCCTTTGGACAATTAGGAGTTCCTCAAATTTCAGGTCCATGCTTGATTCCACAAAAGATTGAGGTAAAGATTTAAAAGGGATCGTGCTTTAGAGCTCTGTACTTTGTATTTCTTCCAGCAACTTACAAAGGTTGTCTGACCTCAGTGGGCTTTAAGCCAGACTCTTCAACTGTTTTTTATAGAGCCTGTCTGTTACAGTAAACGTATGAACTAAAGGACCAGAGATGGTCGGTGACCCAGAAATAAGAAGTTAGGGCTGCTTTTCTTCTTGTGTGAAGAAGTTGCCCACTTCTAACAGAAAGTTATCTCTTTCACTAGAGATTATAACACTTCATAATGTATTTTGGTAACATCTGCAGAATGAGTCAGATGCTCAGATGTTGTAAAGTGATACTAAAGGTAATGAAATTCTGCAAATATACTCCGACTGAAGTTTTGTCTCAAGTTTGTAAGATACTAGATATCTTTGCTATGGGAAGAGTATGTGCCTTCACTGTACCCTGCTGGAGGTTTGTGCTTAATAGTTCAAAGCAAACCAAACCAACAATAATCCACCTCTGAAAAAAACAAACTGCACGATGGAGTTCAAAGTTAGCTATGCCAGTTCTTTTGATCTATTGCTCTTGTGCAGCAGTTCTGTTTTTTAGTATGTGTTGGTTTTTTGAATGTATTTATAACTGTCAGTTTCTCCCCCCAAATGAGGACTCTGGTATTATTTCTTGGCTGTAGAAACAGATAAAAATAAACTTGGTCACCCCCAAAATCATAGTAGTGTGAGAAAGTATGTAGCTGCAGGAAAACTAGACCTGAGAGAATAAACTTTAGTTTTATCACTTTTGAGATTAAAATGATTTTTACTTCTGCGTGTAAAGGAACTGACAAGTGTGTTGACTTGCTTCTTGTCTAACCTCCAGTATTTACCAAACAGTATCAGCTTCCAAGGAAATAGGATGGCTCATGCCAGATACTCCTTTGTTGCTTTTCTACTGTAGGAGGAGGCCGAAGACAGCTGTTCCCCTAGGTAACCCCTAGTGAACAGAGGTTAACTCACCTCATGTTTCTGTATCCTTGATGTTTCCTGGGAGCATCATTCCAGTGTGGTGCCTTGAAAATGGTAGTATAGACAGTGCTAATCTGAATCTATCTCCTCCCTGACCATGTAGACCACTCATTCAACTGGAATATTTTCTCTTTTAGTTTGTATCCTGTTAAATACTTAGGCTTGATGCCATCTATTTTAAAGTGTTACATCTGTGAGAAGAATAATAGATTTGCTGAGTACTCAGAAGTGGGGAAGTGCCGGAATTGAAGTACCTGGTGTAAACTTAACTCACCTATTTATGCACATGTGACTTAATCATGCAAAAGAAGACTATACCATACTGTGCAACCTTCAGTGGTGTAGGTGGTACTGTCAGTGGTGTTGCAGGACTTGGTAAGGCTTAAAGCTTGATGGAACTTATTACTGCTTGTTACTGGTATTTGCTGTGGAGGTTTTGGTGTAATTCTTGAGGAACACCAAGTTAAAATTGAGATAAACGTATTTGTATCGCCAAGGTTCCTTCTTTCATGTGAAGACTTTGACTGTGGCTTTTTATTTATTGCCACAAAGCTGTATATCCAATTGCTTTGCTTGATTTTTTTTTTTTTTTTTAAGATGTTCCCACTGATTTTTGTTGGCCAAAGTTTACTTCCTTTGTGACACAATGTTGATGCGCATTGTGACATGCAAGCTGGAATTGTGAGAACTATTTTCATAGCATTCCACTTCTGTTTGCTGTATTTTGCTTTTAGAGGCACTAAAATGCAAAAAGCAACTAAAATATATTTTTCTTTTATTTGAGTAGTCTCTCAAAGAGAAGGTGGTGGATGTTGCTGCAGGACTGAGACATGCTCTTGCTGCTACAGGTGAATATGTCATAATTTTAATATCATTTCAGTAACAAATGAAATGGAGATTTAATGGCTTGGAGCGGGAGGGAAAGAAGATAAAATTTGGTTAAACTGCTATTTATTTTAAATATCACAGGGAAAATAATCCTGAAAGTCTTATACTAAGATTTTGGTACTAATTATCTTGAATAATAAACGTGCTAGAATGGAAATTGGTGGTAAAGAACTGTTCTTCAAGAACTCAGAGTGAGAGTTTATTTACAAGTTAATTTTCTGATGGGTGGAAGACTTACTGATTTCTTTTCTACTATTCTGAAACAAAACACAAAAGAAAGCTTCTTCTGGAAAAAATGTTCCTGGTCAATGAAAATATCTTCTTAGGATTTTGCATTTATTCTAATATGCAAAATAATGGATGTAGGTTTGTATAAGATGTTTCAAAATGGAACTGCGCATGAAATGTGGCTTTTAATGATGTAATTGAAATTGACGCCTGGAAAAATCACAAGAATGAAACTTTTTGATTGGGGGGGAGGGAAAGAATCTACTCAGAGTTCATTTCACTTGCACACCTTTGAAAATCTGGTCTCTGGCTCTTTCTCCTGCTGTCTGCTGTGTGTGTGCTTGAGAGGGTCATAACTAGGGGGTTGGAACTAGATGGTCTTTGAGGTCCCTTCCAGCCCAAACCAGTCTATGATTCTTTGAGAATGTCTAAATATTTCTCCTGCTGTTCTTAGAGACTTTGTCCATGGAAAAGCTGTAGAAATCAAAACCTTCCAATTGGCATGGTTATGTTAACAACAAACTATATGTGTTCTTTTACTTGGTTTAGTTTTGCATGAACTTTAGTATGGATTCCAGGTAGGGGATTCTAGCTGAAGGTGCAAAGATGATGCTTGGGAGAAGAGTGGGATCTCTATTGCTTGTATGAATACTGGTAATTAAGCTTCCCTGAGCTCTGCACTCAGTGAACATCTTGATTCAGAGTTAGGTCAAGTCTCTAAAAGCTCCTGAGAAGAAAGTGGCTTCGGTCCCTCAGTGTGCTGGACTGTACCAACAAATTAGCTTGAAGAGAAGGAAAAGGCAGAAAAAGTGCAATGAACTTAGAGTAATAAATAAATTGTATGCATTCCTGAGGTGCTACAGCTGTGGGACTTCTGTTACTGAGTCCTCAATAACTTCCTAATTTAGGCCTCAGAGCTGAGACAGGTTGCGTAGTGTAGTGGGTTGACCCTGTCTGGACTCCAGGTGCCCACCAAAGCTGCTCTATAACTCCCCTCCTCAGCTGGACAGGGGAGAGAGAATATGACAAAAGACTCGTGGGTCAAGATAAGGATAGGGAGAGATCACTCACCAATTACTGTCATGGGCAAAACAGGCTCAACTTGGGGAAAGCAGTTTAATTTGTTACCAATCAAATCAGAGAAGGGTAATGAGATCAAATCTTAAACACACCTTTCCCTGCCCCCTCCCATTTTCCTGGACTTAACTTTATTCCTGATTTCTCTCCCACCTCTACCTGAGTGGTGCAGGGGGGTGGGGAATGGGGGTTGTGGTCAGTTCATCCCACGCTGTCTCTGCCGCTCCTTCCTCCTTAGAGGGAGGACTCCTCACACTCTTCCCCGGCTCCAGCGTGGGGGTCCTCCCTCCAATGTGAGTCCTTTCCACAGGCTACAGTTCTTCACAAACTGCTCCAGTGGGTCCCTTCCACGGGGTGCAGTCCTTCAGGAACAGACTGCTCCAGCCTGGGTCCCCCATGGGGTCACAGATCCTGTCAGCAAATCTGCTCCAGCCTGGGCTCCAATCTCCGTGGGGCCTGGAGCACCTCCTTCCCCTCCTTCTTCACTGACCCTGGTGTCTGCAGGGCTCCTTCTCTCACATATTCTCACTCTTTTCGGCTACAGTTGTTGTGCAGCAACTTTTCCCCCTTCTTAAGTGTGGTATCACAGGGGCGCTGCCACCATCACTGATGGGCTTGGACTTGGCCAGCAGCAGGTCTGTCTTGGAGCCAGCTGGCGTTGGCTCTGTTGGACATAGGGAAGGCTTCTAGCAGCTTCTCACAGAAGCCACCTTTGTAGTACCTCTGCTACCAAAACCTTGCCGTGCAAACACATTACACTTAGTATCTTCTTAGTTTCCTTACCTGTGTAATGAGACTACAGCTGTTTCTGGCTTGATGACTTTATCAGGGTTATCCTTGTGTTTTTGGCTTAAAGGTCTTTTAAAGTGTAATTTGAATCAGTGAAAATGAAGTGAATACAACTTTAAAACTAATTAATGATTTAAACTAATTAATTAAATTAATGATTTAAAACTAATAAAAGTAATTTTGTTGGTGGCTGCTGTGTTTTAACCTCTTCTATCTGTGTTTACTCTGGAAAGAGAGCGGTTTAGTGCTTCAGTGGGGAACTGGCATGGTGTCTCGGGCAAAGCGTGCAAACAAAGGAAAACCCCTCCCCCTGTTCTTGACAGCAAAGGAGCCCTGTGAAGTAACAGGTAATCCAGGAATCTGATTCCTTTTAAAGGTGGATAGAGCAGAAATATCATTTGAAGTGATATGTAGCATCCTTTTATTATAAAGCCACTTGGTATTATAAACATGTAGTGGAGAATCTGAAAGATAGAATGGGCGTACAGGGCCATAATCTATGGGGGAAAATGATAGTGAGTCTTGCAATGTCTGTGGCCCAAAAGCAGAGGCTTATGTTATAGAATTCATCATCATCCTTTTACACTTGTATGCATGTCTATGCATGAAATGATGCCTGCTGTACAAATTTTATGAAACTATTTCCTCTCTAGGCCTGGAAGATGTAAAGGTGAAGACAGTTGCTGCAAGCTCCTATCATTCGGTGTCACTCACAGGTAGGCCTTAGGTACAGAAGTGAAAGCCCTCATCTTAGCCTATAAAGGTTTTTGCATTTTGGAAACGTTTGTCAATTTTGGTTAGACTGATAAAATTTGATCTGGCCTAGTTAGTGCTGGTTAATTGTTTTGTAATAGTTTTGGATTCCGAGTACTTTCCTTTTTTTTTTTTTTTAAGAGCTGGATTCATGTTTTGAGTTCTCTGAATTCTGTGTGTTTTTTTTCTTGGCGTCTTGGCCCTTATGAGCAAGCAATGGTCTGGACTGTACTTAATGGTTAGGAATTCTGAAAGGATTTGTGGAAGCACATGGTTGGATAAATCTCTCAAGCTGCAGCATGGTGCCCCACGGGGTAACTCTGGATGGTTGAGTGCTGGAACCAGTGCAACTGTTTGTGTGTGGAGAATGGGTATGTTGGAACAACCACCTATGTGAGCTATAGGGCTGTGCGGTGCAGGGATGTGAGATGGTCTGGAACTATCTTAGGTGGCTCCAATATAGCAGCGAGCAGATCTGTGTGAGGTAATGTAAGAGCACAAGGCTCATTTAAAGCAGTAGGAAGTTGCTTTAATTGCTTAGGCACTTCCATAATGTCTGCCATTTGTTCTTTGATCTTTAGGCAGCACTCCCATGCTGGAGTATTAAGTATCCAGTGATGAAAGCCTAATAAAGATTTTTTTTTTTTTTTTTTTTTCCAGACTGGGAGAGAGGGAAACAGAATAGCTTTTCATACTGTAATCTTACAGTTTTGAAGTGTGGAAGATATATTGAACCTTACGAAGATAAGTCTTTGCCAAACTTTCTAGGAGCAAGTTTTTAGCAAATAGGCAGCCATCTGGTACCTCTGTCATCATTAAAGGAGCACTGGTGTACTTGCTTATGCAGGTCTACAGAGATTTAGTTGTATGGCGAGATGTTCAAAGACGTAAATTATATTGAATTCTGAGATGCAAAATGTGTGATTAGTGAAGAACAACTGTAAGGACAAATTGAATCTCCTTTAGCTAATTAGCACTCTATTTAGAGAGCGTGAACAGATTATTCTTTCATGCTTTTGCTTTTTATTTGAGAAAGCAGCGTATTTGGCAGCAGGGGGACCAAGATTGATGGAGTGCCAAAGACTTTACTAATGCAATGCTGTTGCTGCCCTTCATCCTGCAAGATACTAGTTATTACTTAAAATGCTTTGTATTTTGAAGATACTTGATATAGTAAAGATACTACTGCAGCGTGTAGTATTTAAATGGGGATTTTTTCCTAGGAATCTCTCACGCTGTGTTGCAATGTTCTTTGGCTCTGTTTCATGAGCCACCTGCTGGTAGGATATCAAACACCTGCAATCAGGCAGGCTTTTGACCCAATTGTTGAAGTGGGTTGTTGCAAACATGAATGGCAGTTCCCCTAAAAAAAAAAGGATGGTGGTCCCCCTGTATCCAAACTGGCCTGAACCCTCCAGTGATGGGAATATGGTGCTAACTCTTAGTGTCTAAGTTTTTGTTGAAACCTACTCAAGAAATGAGATGAGGGTGAGCGTATGACACTTCCCAGGATAAAGCAAATGCTTCTGGGGAAGAAAAGGGGGTGACAGAGGCAGTGCATGTTAGTTGTGGAAACATAAATGACCATAATGTTTTTTTTTTGTTGAAACAAGCTGTTTCTGTCACCTCTTTTTTCTTTCTATCCAGAAGGTGTAGGTACTTCACTCTGGGAAGGAATTTATCAATTTTAGTGGAGAATTCAAATGAAATAATTGCTTGATTTGTTTTCCCTCTTCATTTCAGTTGTGTTGTTTTAGTGAGGAATGTGGGAAGTCCTGCAGATGACTGTCAGTAATGTGAAACTTGACAAATACTGGCTTCCCCTGCAACTCCCTCTCTTGGTTTTCACCAGCATAGTATAGTGGAATTCTGCTGGCACATTCTTTGTGTTACTGTTACTAAACTGAGATCATCAAATATATTGTAGCCTAAGACCTACTTCACCCCCTCACCCCCCACCCTCTGAAAGATTCACTTCTGTCATGCTGCTTGTAGTAGGTCAGTGCTGACCTAAGACTTCCAGAAGCCTTGACTGCTGTGGATGTGTGATCTGAACAATTCCACATTAGAAATGATACAGCTTCCAGTCTTTCTGGGCTCATGATCATGTACTTCATGTGTGCAAGATTTATTTCTTAAACTTGCAGCTTGTCCAGGGTGGCAAGGGACTTCAGGAGGCCTGGCACAGCTCATGTCCTGTTAAGTGTTTCATGACTTCTGTGAAGTCATGAAACATATAATTCGTGGATTATGTTTTTTTTTACATGGAGGCCTAGAACCTGGGCAGAATGATTTTGTGCTGAAAAGATGGAACTGATGCTGTGTAATATCTGCAGAAGTACTCATCTGAACAGTCATCTTGTTACTATCAGTTGGTTGTTAGGCTGTGAGCAACTCCAGCTTGCACCAGTGAAACATATGAAGCAATGTGGATGTTTCTGTACATGTAATTATCCCTGTGGGTGGAATCCTGGAGCGTGCACTTGCACAAATGGTTATTCTAGAAAAGGGATGGGGAAGATAAGTCGTTACTTACGAAGTCTCTCGCTAGTTGTCTAGCATTGTTTTGAGGCACGATGATATTTTAATTTTGCCTTGTGATGGGTGGTAGCAGGTACAACCTGCTTTAGTTGTATGTTCATAGCTGTGTGTCCAATTCCGTTATGAAGTGACTGTGCAAGGTGAGACAAGGAGCATCAAACTGTCCCTGCTTTGTGGGAATTTAATGAAGCTGAAGAAGGCAGGAGAGTTATGAGCAGAGCTAGGAATCTGTAGCTCTTGTAGAGAGGCTGAGAGACTGTAATGCAGAGCAGGAGCAGCCAGCCAAGCTTTGAAGAGTCCCAGGTACTGGAGGGGGGTTAAATTATTTGCTGCAATTGGACTGAATCAAAGCTTTGGGGTGGAGGTAGAAGCTGGCCTGCAAGAACAGAGTGAACTGAGAGGGACTGCTCAGGGAGTGTCCCCAAGATGCTTTGATTATTTTTTTTTTTTTCTTGGAGAAGTTGACTATTGTGGTTAGTTGTCTAATAAAAATTGGCCTTTGCTATAAACTTCTATCAGCTGTCTTTGAGAGGCTCACAGTAGAAATAAGGTCTAGGCAGTCTGACCTGAAAGCTCAGGTTGTTTCAGGGAGTCGGGGTAGCCCTCAAAACAGGTTATGTTATTAAGTCCCTTGCAAATATTTCTGGTGTCCTGGTTACAGGGTGCATGCATGTGGTAAAGAATGGTAGGAAAAAGTGTACAGTGAAAACAGAAATTGAATGAAACTTTGTTCTTTCCTCAGCATCACTGAGTTGAGACAGAGCCTGTATCTGGTGGTGTTCTATGTATACCACTTTCAACAAATATTACTTCTCTGTCTATTATAGATGAAGGACACCTGTATGTCTGGGGTAGCAACAAACACGGGCAACTAGTGAGCAAAGAGATCTTTCTTCCTAAGCCCAAGAAGATTGAGACTCAGTTTTTTTCACATGAAAAGATTGGAGCAGTTTGGAGTGGCTGGACCCACTTGGTGGCACGAACAGGTAGGATATCTAAAAAGCAGTAACATATGACACGAAACCAGTAGATTGTCTTTATTGCGTGCCAACAGTGTTCTTTCCCATTGGTACTGGTTGGATACAGACTTTCGCAGTCTCACCTGAGCCGTGGTTGTCTCTTGAAAATGATGAGGACAGACATCCTTTGGCTTCTGTCCCTGAAGTGTTACTGCGCTTACGGATCAGAGAGTCTTAGCATCCTCACAAGTGCAGTAGCAGCTGCATGTACAGACTAGAGGGGTGCTCTCTGCATCATCAGGTTACTGGTATACCAGAATCTGTGTGAGCTTCTCAAGATCATTCTGCTGGGTGGGCTGGGAGAGAAAAGAATTTGGTGGAAAACTTGCTTCGGAAAATAGAGAGGTAGGAAAATATGGCTGCAGCTTCCAAGGTAAATGACTATTTGCCAGGAAAATACAGGCAAAACTTTCAGGGTACAGGAACTTGGGAAAGGGATAGATAATCAATCCTGAGCAAGTGTCTGTCTGAAAGGCATCGGGCATAGATACGTACCTTTCCCGGGTTACCAGAGTGTTAGCTGAGGATCTTAAGAACAGGCATAGCTCAAAACCTGCTGCTTCTGCCATCCCATCTGAGAAAACATGGTCTCATGGCAGGAAGTGAAATAAAGTACTTGGATTTGCACAACTGTACTAACCTTTCTGTACGTCAAGAGCGAGCCTAGCTTTTTGTGCTGCTGCTCTTTAGCAAAGTATTTTAAGGACAAATAAAATCATGTGTTCAGAAGAAAGTCAATAAACTAAAATCAGCTGGCGTGTGTGTGTGTTTGTGGTCAAACCCAGGAAATGTTTAGAAAAGACAGGTAAAAAGAGGCATCATTAGACTTGAAGAGCATCCCCTGAAGATGAAATGAAAGAAGATTTAATGTTGAAGCTGTACCTTTGTGGGAGCCTTTCCGGTGAGGACAATGTGAAAGCTTGCCACCCGCAGAGGGCTGTAGGGTTAGGTTCTTTCCCGGGAAGAGATAAGAGGAAGGTTTTGTAGTAATGACATTCAAGGTAAAAGGGTAGTTGATCTGATGAAGGTCATCTGAATGCATTTGTATTGTGTCTGTGTGGTGAAATACCAAGGCAGGAGGGAAAGGCAGACGAGATGGAAAGGTAAGACAGACCTCTGAAACTGTTTTGTGGTGTTCACATGTGAACAGTCTGTGCTATTTGCTTCTCCTCTTGCACAGTGTGGTGTGCTAGTTAAGACTAACAGGAGGATGAAAGTCTTCCATAGAATAAACAGAACAGCCAGAATTACATTAGCAGGGGTAGCATGTGTGCATTTCGGCTTTTGCCTTGTATAAACTGCCAGGCGAGCAGGTGAAGGCATTTTTGCCTAGAGTTACGTTGGAGATTGAAGAGCCTATTAGTTCATCAGGATACAACCTGTTTGTTAGGAAAACTGCAGAAGGGGCAACAAATCTGTTACTGATATTTACGGGGTTCTGTAATTATGGGTACCGGTTCAAGGAGTGCTTAGCCTTCAGCATGGGTAGTTTTATTTAACTGGAGTTCTTACGTGCTCGAAGGTCAGCATGTGCTTAAGTGTTCTATTAAATTGGTGCTGTAAATCCTGAAATGGTTATGCAGTGATGTCCCTTGCTCTGTGAGGAAAAAGTGTCTGTTTTAATTACTGTGAACTCTTGGTGCTAGAATTTGGAGGGATGTGATGCATGACTAGAAAAACAAATTGGTTGTGTTCTGAACATTCATTGTTTGACATCAAAGTACGTGAGAGAAATGTCATGTAAAAAACCCGCATTACTCTAGCTGCTCTCTTAGCTCTTTGAAAGAAATGTTTGAACTCTGATTTTCAGAGGATGCTATATTGAAAATTTCAGAGCTGTAATCAATGCTATGTGCTGCTTGGGAGCATTTCAGGTGGAGTAAAGGAATTTATCTCAAAATATATAATTCTTGAATAAAGTGTTTAGTGTCATTCTCACTGGAACAGAAATGGTAGAAAAAAAGACATTGGTCAGGGTAATCTAATTTTTTAAAAGAGTCTTTTATGATTTGCCTTGCTTCACTATTTCTTAATAGTGCATACCCGCTAAGTAAAACTTCCCCAAAGTTTTAATAACTTTCATGTTTCACGTAGTTGATACTTATCCATGGCTATTATGGAAACGAAGTGAATATTTTAGCAGGTGATTGTTAACAAGAAAAAAGGTGTGTTGGGTGACTAGTAGGGATATTTTTTTTTGAGTGTTTGAAAGGAATTTGGAT